TTTTTGGCTTTTAGATGAGGTATGTAGTCCTGTCTTTCTGGCAAGAAAAATTCTAGAATGTAGGCTCCTTGTTCCTCATTCCTTGACTTCTCAATCGGCTCGGATGACTCTATTTCCATATTGTCATCCAAGCACAATGTAGAAAAATATTTGGAGTGAGGACCAATGCGCTCACACACATGAACTTCAGGACTTTCAGCATCCTCAACATCAATGATACTAGAGTCAACAAAATTTGTATCCTCAATGTCTTTGGCTGACTCTAGTCTCACTTCTTCAACATTGACATCCTCAAATTTTAGTTGGATAGGTTGTTGATGTTCTACTCTGACCTCCCCAGTTAACACCTCAAATTCATGCTCTTCTTGGCTACTATCCTCAATATTGGCTTGTTGAGCATTAAAAGCTCCAACCACTTGACTCAATTGAGCCTCCAACTTGCGAATAGTTGTCTTTTGCCTTTCTATCTCCAATTGTTTTCATTATTTTGTTTTAGAAGGTACTTTAACATATCATTGATCTCCTTTAGGTCTGCATCCCCAAGTTATTTATTCTTATTAACTTCACAAGAAATGGTAGAACTATCATAGTAAGGGGTTGGGGGAAGATAAGAAATATAAGCGCAACAATAAAAATGGCCATTTTTACCACCACACACATCACACACATTTCATAAATAAGATTGAGTTGGCGCACATAACTCGCTCTCAGGAACGTTTTGAAAATTTTTCCACGGGTGGTTTCCTTCACAATATGTATGGAGATCAATAGTAGAATTATCTACACCTAAATTCCCATAATTCCAAGATGTCTTGTTTCTCAAATCAACAGTTATAAGAAAAATAAAAAAGAAAAAGAAAAAACAAAATAAAAGTTCAAACTTGAACCCTAGCAATATATACAACTACAACTAGACTGTTAGTTCCCCGGCAACGGCACCAAAATTTGATCACGTCCAACTATGCCTTATAAAAAGGACCAAGTGATCGTTGCAAATATAATCCAGTTTACAAGTCTGAAGTCGAATCCCACAGAGAACTAAGGCCTAGCTACAGCTATTCACTATCACCAAGAAGACAAGCTTGAACAGTTCCTGACTTATAGATATTAAGATTCTTGTGTTTAACTAATTAACTAACAAATTAAAATAGTAAATTAACAACTACAGATACTAAGGGTTAGAGACAAGATTAAGGAGGTCTAGAGTTATGATTTCCTCAATTGTCGGAATTCTTCCCTCTATGTCTTCTATAATTTCACCTAAGTATTCTCCGCCGATCATGAGCGCTCTGCGTATTGTAATTCTCTCCCGAGTAATTACGACAATTAACTAGACATACTCTCCCGAGTTGCGCTAGCTGGCTATAATTACAGCTTACTTAGATCGCACCCAGGGTTTCGTTATCCCTAATCCTACCTTTAAACTCTTGGTTATTGATTCCTCACATACGTCGGGAGTGATGTTGTTCAACAACTACCTAAATATGCACTCTCTCCCGAGTAATACATACTAAATAGGCACAGCTAATTGAGGGCCCTTCAATCAACCACAAGAATAATATAGTTGAACAACTAGAGAAAATACTACGGCTCAATTATATAAAAACATAACAAGAATTTATTCTACAAAAGGTTCCATCAAAACCCTAGATAACAAATTAGCTATTCATAATAATATGTAAAACTACAATACTAAAAGTCATAACCAACAATGAAAAATAGGAAGAGGAAGGAAAAACTCGTAGAAAAATTCCCCGCCTTGCTCCTATTGTGTCTCTGCCTCCTTAGGTCAAATCTGTGTCTCAAATCTGTCCAACCTCAGCCTCCCTAGGTCTAAATTATGTCCAACCCCTTAAAAATAACGTTTTCCATGTATATATACCAAGTAGGGCCGGACCCAAACAATTATATCTTCTCATACGCGAAAAAGGACAATTTTTTCAGGTCTGGACGCCGCGGCCGTGGTCCGACTGCGGTACGAATGCGGTATATGGCAGGTATACTGCCTCTACCCGCCTCAGGTCAGCGGTCGCGATTGCGATCGCATTCTTCACCATGTTACTTTTGGAATTTGGAAAAATGTAAAACATGAATGTTGTAGCCCTTTGAATTATCTTTCCAACCCTATATTGTGTAGCCCAAATGGAATTCTGAGAAAAAAGTTATGTGCATTTTATTAGACAGTGCGCAATATGCCTACTCGATTCTTCGTTTTGTTGCTCTATCATCCATTGATCTCCGAATACGATCCCGGCTTAATTACTTGGGCTTTTACTCAGACTTTAAAGCTCCAAATCATTTGAATTTATTCCATAATATCTATATAGCTCGAAATCACTTCTACAAGACATAAAACACACAATTAGTGCAAGACACTAGCGATTAAAGCTCAAACTCAATTAAAGTGCAGTAAATTTAAGTGTAATAAGAGACTAAAATACGTAATTATAGCCTATCATCATTACCCTTGCTTTAAGTTTTATGGTTGGCTGTCAATGCTCCTTCAACCATGCCATCTTGCATTATAAGACTCCTTATCTCTTGTGCATGCAATGTATTTAACAATCTTGCCAAGGTAATCTTGAATAGATCCTTTGTGTTTTCTAAGGTAGTTATGGTTACTTCATATTTTTCAGTCACCTTAATAAGAATTTTTCAACAATTCTTGAATCTTTAAATTTAGTACCAAGCAATCTTATCTTTGTAACAATGCCAAACAACCGATCTGAGTATTCTTTGACAGTCTCAGATTCCTTCATTTTTTGCAACTCGAATTCTCTTATTAAATTCAACACCTTCATGCTTCGAATTCTTTCATCTCTTGTATATTCTCCCTTCAGATAATCCCAGATTTCTTTTGCTGATTTGAGAGCCATAACTCTCGTGAAAATTGTTGCAGACACACCAGCAAACAAAGTTGCCTTCGCCTTTGATTTCTTGGTTTTTCTTGGTTTTCTTTTCCTTGTGACTCTCTGGGCCATTGTGGGATTGCTAGGCAGCGGAAGAACATCATAATCCTCTTCGACGACCTCCCTAAGATGTAAAGCCTCCAAGTAAGTCTTCATTCTCATTGCCCAAAGTTGGTAATTTTCACCATCAAAGATTGGAGGAGTCAATTGAGAAAACTCGTTTCAGTCTCCATCTCACTCAAGAATTTTTTTTACTCAGGTACCTTAAGAAGATGTCTCTTGATACCAATTGTTGGTTCTTGATAAAAGAAACTAAGAGAAATAACAGGGAAGATGTCATGAAAATAAAAAGAGTATATTGGAATAGATGTAAAAGGAACTAAAGCTTAAAATTTTATATTATTTCGCGCATCTGGATTATAATTTATAAGATAGATGCTAACATAAAAGACCTAAAATTCAGCGCAAAATTTGCTAAAAATAACAAATTCCTAAGAATAGTTCAAAATTATTTCAAATTCAAAATAAATTAATGTAGTAAATAACTCTTAAGCTGAAACACTAAAATAATTTTACTATTTTCAGCTTCATTTTTAACAGTTCTCTATTATCTATTAGTTGCTATTTTTTAGGCTTAGTAATTAAATTGTAAGCCTATAAAACACAGCAGGTGTTCTTATATTTTAAGGAAGTGAATTTGAACAATAAAAAAAGCTATTTCGTATATTTCTTTTATAGATTCTACCTTTTGCAGAGCTATTAGAAAAAGAAGTGGGTTACTACATAAATCTTCTTCTTTTCTATTTTCAGATTTCATTCTCCCGTGCACCAAATAGCTAAGTTAGAGAGAAAGTTACTAAACACAAACCAGAGATAAAAATGGCAGCAAATTCCAACTCTCACAGTAACTCCCAATATCTTCCAATTTTCAAAGGGGTGAATTATCACTTTTTGGAGTGTTAAGATGAAGATTCTCTTCAAGTCTCCGGAATTATAGGACTTGGTGGAGAATGGATTCCAGACACGGATGAAGGCCATGCACAACGGCTACGGGAAAATTGCAAGAAGGATTCGAAGGCATTATTTCTGATTCAACAAGCCCTTAATGATGATATCTTCTCCCGAATTTCAGCAGCAGAGACTTCCCATGAAGCTTGGGAAATTTTACAGTAGGAGTATATGGGGGATAAGAAGGTAATTGAAGTAAAATTGCAAACTTTGCGTCGTGATTTTGAAACTTTGAGCATGAAAAATAATGAATCGGTGCAAGATTATATGTCTAGAGTCTCTTCCATTGTTAATCTCATGAAATCTTATGGGGAGATTGTTAGTGATAAAATTATTGTAGCAAAGGCGTTGAAGTCTTTAACCAATAAATCTGAGCATGTGGTTGCTGCAATTGAAGAATCCAAGGATTTATCTAATTATTCATTTGATGAATTAATGAGTTTTTTGTTAGCACATGAAGATAGGTCAAACAGGTCTCATGAGAAAATTGAATAAAAAGCATTCCAGGTGAAATAAGAGTCATCTTTCTCCAGAAAAAAAATTGCAAATTTTTCTAGCTGAGGTAGAGGAAGAGGTGGATATCATGGTCGAGGTTGAGGCCGCGGCAGAGGCAAAGGTCAATTTAATGAGACAGGTTAGCAAAAGAGTGACATGCAATGCTGATATTGCAAGAAGTACAGTCATACTGAAGCTTATTGCTGGACTAAGCAAAAAAAATGAGCAGAAGCATGCCAATTTCTCAGAGAAAGTAGAGGAAGAAAGTAAGTTGTTCATGGCTCATTCTCCAATTACTAACTCTTCTGATGGTGTTTGGTTCATTGATAGTGGATGCTCGAACCATATGTCTGGCACAAGGTCTTTGCTTAGAGACCTCGATGTGTCACAGAAGAGTGAAGTTCGACTTGGTGAGGGCAAGTAAGTTCGAGCTGAAGGCAAAGGTACCATAGCAATAAAGACAATACATGGTAATGTAAAACTTCTCTGTAATGTGCAATTTGTTCCTAATTTGGCTCATAATTTACTGAGTGTTGGACAATTGATGGCTAGTAGTTACTCTATTCTGTTTGATAATGGAGAATGTATTGTTCGTGCTAAAAAAATTTGGTCAGACTATTGCAGTTGTTCATGTGACACAGAACATGTTTCCCCTTAATGTTTCAAATGTTGTGAAAAATGCTTTAGTTGCTAAAGGTGTTAATGAAACTCAGCTTTGGCATCTTCGCTATGGTCATTCAAATATTAATGGGTTAAAATTGTTGACTAAGAAGAATATGGTTGCTGGGTTATCAGAAATTGGTGAGCTTGACTTGTGTGAAGGTTGCATATTTGGGAAATAAAGTAGAAAATCCTTTCCTGTAGGACAATCATGGAGGGCTACATGCTATCTTGAGCTTGTACATGCTGACTTGTGTGGACCAATAAAGACTGAGTCGCTTGGTGGGAGTCAGTATTTTCTGCTATTTACGATGATTATAGCCATATGAGTTGGGTTTACCTTTTGAAATTTAAATCAGAAGCTTTTGAGAATTTCAGAAATTTCAACGCACTCGTGGAGAAGCAATCAGGCTGCAACATAAAGATTCTTCGCACAAATTGTGGTGGTGAATTTTTATCTAATGATTTTAATTTATTTTGTGAATAGAATGGAATTCGTAGGGAGCTTACAGCACCGTACACACCACAATAAAATGGAGTCGTCGAGCGAAAAAATCGTACGGTGGTTGAGATGGCCAGAAGCTTACTTAATGCAAGAGGACTTCCTGTTAAATTTTGGGGAGAGGCAGTGACAGCAGTTGTGTACCTCTTGAACATCTCTCCAACAAAAGCAGTTTTGGATCAGACTCCATATGAAACATGGACGGGACAAAAACCACGAGTAAGCCACTTAAAAGTCTTTGGTTGTATAGCTTATGCTTTGATTAATTTACTCTCTAAACTTGATGAAAAATCAGAAAAATGCATTTTCATTGGTTATATTCCTCAATCCAAAGCATATAGACGATACAATCCTACTAATGGCAAAGTGATTATCAACAAGAGTGTGGTGTTTAATGAAGAAGCAACTTGGGAGTTGAATGACAAAAAGGAAGATTCATCAGTCGATATTCCATTTCACACAGATGTGGAGCATATGGAGATAGTTGAATCAGGAAGTTTGGACCCTTCCTCTCCTGGTAGCAGCAATACTGATTTCTCTTCTCATGGAAGTACCAAAAATTCTACTCCAGCAAGCTCTCATTCTCCAACTTCAGCATCATCCAGCGAAACGCCAGCAAAGTTCAGATCGCTGAAAGATGTTTATTCAGCTTGTAGTTTTGCCTTGTCAGAGCTGCTGATCCAATGTGTTATGAAGAAGCTGCAGAGCAACCAGAGTGGCAGAATGCAATGATTGAAAAGATTCAGTCCATTGAGAAAAATCAGACCAAGGAGCTAGTTGATTTACCAGAAGGGAAGAATGTTATCGGGCTAAAATGGATTTTCAAAACAAAATGCAATGCTGATGGATGCGTCAAAAGGCATAAGCTCGACTTGTTGCAAAATCCAACAACAAGGCATCGACTTTAAAGAGACGTTCTCACCAGCAACTCGCTTTGAAACGGTTAGAACTATTCTAGCTTTGGCTGCTCAACTTGGTTGGCCTGTGTACCAATTTGATATTAAGTCTTCCTTCCTAAATGACGACTTACAAGAAGAAGTATATGTTTCCCAACCTGAAGGCTTCATTTCTAGTGAAGGCAAGAACAAAGTATATATATTGGAAAAGGCATTGTATGGTCTGAAGCAAGCTCCTCGGGCATGGTATAGAAAATTTGACTCATTTTTTCAAGAGAACCAGTTCAAAAAAAGTGAGAATGAACATACACTCTATGTGAAGAAGCGAGGTAGCTTGGATGATCACAAGAGCGCATCTGGGAATGTTTTTAGTCTTGTTCTGGAGCAATCTCATGGAGTTCAAAGAAAAAAAAATACAGTGGCTTTGTCATCTTCGGAAGCAGAATACTTGGCTGCAACTACGGCAAGTTGTCAAGCTATCTGGTTAAGAAAATTGTTAAAGGATCTTCAACAGGAGCATATTAGTCGAACTGAAATATCGTGTGCCAACAAGGCAACAATTGTTATGGCAAAGAATCCTGCTTTTCACAGTAGAACGAAGCACATCGACACTCGCTATCACTTCATTCGCAATCTAGTCATTGGTGGAGTAATCTCACTGGAATTTTGTGGCACAAATGATCAAATTGCTAATGTTCTTATGAAATCGTTGCCTCGCAACAAGCATGACTTTTTCAGACTACAAATGAGCGTATGTGATTTTGAAGAAAGGGGGAGTGTTGACTAATTCTTCAAAACAGTTCAGTTGCACATGATTTGGTCATGACTCTCTTTTCTAGCCGTAGTGAACTTGTGTTTTTACTTGGTCTTTCTTGTTAGTTTTACAGTATTATCACTTAGTAGTGGACCATGTTTTTCACTTTTCCTCATGTTCTCCATTATCTGTTAGTTGCTATTTTTTAGGCTTAGTAGTTAATTTGTAAGCCTATAAAAGGCAGTAGATGTTCTTGTTTTTAAGGAAGTGAATTGAGCAGTAAAAAAAGCTTTATTTCGTATCTCTTTTATAGAGTCTGCCTTTTGTTTCCAACACGCGGAGCCCCACTTGTATGTGTTTGATGGTACGCGACTCTTGCACCCCCTTGTGTTTTTCTTTGTCATGTTGTTCGGCAGGGATTACAATGGATTTGCTCTTGGGGGTTATGTCGTTGGGTGTCCATCACGTTACGACTGTTTTTATGTTTTTCCCTCAATAACGATGCTTTCGATTGCACAACTCTCTCATGTTTAATAGCATGCATAACATAGAGTCTATTCCCAAAAAGAGTTCATACCTAAAACTTGAAAATTTTGATACAGTAATGTGCCAATGAACGTCAAATCGAACCCCCCCCCCCCCC